CCCCCCCCCCCCCCCCTCCTCTTATATTAATGCCTCGATTATTAAATCGGATATCTGCTATATAAAAGTACATATACCGAGTAACGTTATCGATCTATGCTTAGACATATAGAAAGAAATCTTTCTGTAATAATCCTCGATTACTCTACTGGATACCTGCTCGGCTGCTACGTAGGAGTACATATACCGAGTAACGCTGCTTACTAATGCTTACACATATAGGAAGAAATCTTTCTTATATCAATACCTCGATTATTCTACTGCATACCTGCTAGGCAGCAGCTACATATATAGGAGTACTTATACCTAGTAATGTTGCCCACTAATACTTAGACAAATAGAAATAAACCTTTCTTATAATGGATACCTGCTATATAGGAGTACATATACCAAGTGGCGAGTACGGTTGTCGACAAGGCTTAGAGCCTGTTTGGCCAAGCTTTTAGGAGGCCAAAAGTACTTTTTTTGGGTCAAAAAAGCACTTTTTGAAAAATTTAAGGTGTTTGGCCAAAATGAAAAAAGTACTTTTGAGTAGCAACAGAAGCAGTTTTTCTGCTTCTGGGGAGAAGCTAAAAATTGTACTCCCTCTGTTCCAATTTATGTGAACCTATTTCCTTTTTGGTCCGTTCCAAAAAGAATGATCCCTTTCTTAATTCAGTAACAATTTTGCTTAAACTTGCAGTTCTACCCTTAATGAGAAGCTTTTATAACCACACAAATACTCGGGGCCCCTTTTTGACTTGCTGAGGACCACAAATTCCAAAAGTCTTCATTTTTTGTTAAACTCCGTGCCCAGCCAAACAGATTCACATAAATTGGAACGGAGGGAGTAGCTTCTTCCTTCACATATTGATTTTGGTGTGAAAGTTAATTTATTGAAGACAAAAATAACCTTACAATAAATTTATATTTTTCAAATTATCCCTCATTAATTTAATTTTCTTTTCCTTTTTTTAATTTCTGCTATACATTTATTCTCTTTTTTATTTTTTTATTTTAATGACATTTTTATTCTCTTTCTCCTATTCCTATGAGTAGATTTTAAATTTATTTTGAACGATGTATTTTGACATATTTAAATTATAATAATAAGTAATACTAAACATTCAATATTATTGTTTTGGAATAACTATATTATATTAATGAGAATTTTTAATTTATATTTTTACTTTACATTTTATATTTTAATGGAATTCTTTTCTAAAAAATATTTAAATTTATTTTACTTTTCTAAGTAATACTAATCGCAAATTGAACATTACTGTCCTTTTTCGTAATTTGATACTTAAAAGTGCTTTTTTAAAAGATTGGCCAAATACAAGGAGCTTGCAAAAAGCACTACTCAAACGAATCGGCAAACATATACTACTTATTTTGTAAAAGTACTTTTTCATAAAGCACTTTTAAATAAAAACGCTTTTCAAAATAAGTAGTTTTTGGCAGCTTGGCCAAACGGGCTCTTAGACATATAGGATAAAATCACCTGGCTTTTTTTTCTCTCTGTTGAACCTTAATTACCCATAGTTTTCGCCCACTTCGTTAACTACTAGACCACGTGTTTAGTTGCAATGGAGTAGTTTGTAATCTTGGCTGCTTAGGGTTTAAAAAGTTAACAATATTTTATAATACATAACTGAGGTTTCACATTAGCAGATGCATGTACTAAAGACTGAATCTGTAGGAGAGCAATATGGAAAATAGTTTTAGGTCAAAGGACAATTTTCACATGTACAATGAATCTGCAGCCTCTATACTTGGAAACTAACAGTAGTGAATATGATAGAACTGCATTATTTACAACAATGACACTTTGTAGAGAGTCGATACAGGGCAGTCCGGTGCACGAAGCATCCCGCATTCATGCAGGATCGGGGGAAGGGTTGCACCCCAAGGGAGTGTAATGTAGGCAGCCTATCCTACAGTCGATGCAGCGTATAAGAAAAAGATTTAGGAAATAAATAGGAGATGATACATGCAAATAAATTTGCATCTCTATTGCCAAGAAAATGTGGTCTCTACTTAAAACACTGAGATTGCTAGTGTACAGAGAGTTGCATTAAGTCTAACCATAATCTTTTCTGGGGAAAATACACACTGTTACATTAACAGACAAGTCAACTGTTCTTGTCCAACACATAAACTAATCAAGTGAGCAGCAATCTGTAACGAACTGGCTAAATCTTACTCGCGTTACCTCAATCTTTAGCAAACGACGAAACAAGCTCAGCAGCAGAATCTTGAGTTGGTAACATCGGTGTTAAAACAGCCAGTACTTAAATCAGTTATGTTGCTGTAATAAACGCGAACCTTTTCTATTTTCGCGAAAAAGCAGCTAATTCCTGTGCAACACTTCTTAGTAATAACTAGAACAAATCATTTCATCTCTTTCCAAATCTTAAGCATCTGTTGTGTTTGGATTCGGTTATACTTGGGGCTTGAGAAAGCCGTGCCTTGTTTCGTTTAGAAAACGAGTGTTTCTCCATTGCATTAACGAATTTGCGCAAGTGCTTAATGTACTCAGGAAATGTCTCCAGGTTACAATGTCCTCCACCTTCAACCCATAACGGATCATATTTCTCTTTGGCGAGTTCCCACAAACGCTTACCATGTGAAAAATCAACAACCTCATCTGCTGTACCCTGCAAATAACTCATTTTTCAGAGACATAAAAATACTAGAGGTCTGGTAGGTAAGTGAAAGAATGCGTTGAGCTTTAATGCGGGAAACAAGTGAATCCTATATCATAACTGTATATATGATATGATATGATGTACTATTCTTACTGCTCTTTCTCAAGAAAACAGCCACGTTCAGAATAAACACGTGGAACACGTCATTATCTCGTGGAAACTCCTCTAGATATATGTGTTTTCAACATCAGATATTCACAGTAACCTCACCTTAGATTGTGACGAAGGATCCAGAATTATTACATTTAAAACTGATACTCTAGGAATTACGATTAAGAAGTTGAAAATTGAAGAAAATCATAAGATTTAGTGACCAAGTTCAATCCACAAATATCATTTATGTTGAACCAATGATAGTAACTAGTATTAATAGAATTTATTTAGATTACTGAGTACAGTCAAACCTCTATATAACAGTCTCGTTTGTTACGATATATTTTGGCTGCTATAGTGAAGTGATGTTATAGAGGATATATATTATAACATAATATAAAAATCAGTTTCGAGAAAAAATATAGCTTTTATAGTGAATGTATGTTATATAGGGATGCTATTATAGAGAGTTCTAACTGTACCACATAAAAGTTTAGAACTTTCACATTCTAGGCATACATAGATCTAAAACGTTTTATTTGAGCACAGAAGCATCATTACCAACTCCACTAAACAGAAATGCCTAGTGGTATTGCACTGTATAAGTCCCGATCGTAGATAAGGAACCATTGCTCGGTAAAATGCTACAGCTTATATCAAACAAGAAATTCTGGTTTCACTTACGCACGAGAACCTTCCTTGTAACACTTTCAAAAAGTTAGAAAGAAACTCAAAACATTATGTAGCATTTTAAGTGCTTGAATGGAAAAATGGCGGAAAAACCAGCAAAACTGCAGCTGGTTGAATCTGTCAAAGCAAATCTCGGGATGTGACTCCTAAAGGTCTGATGATAGTTATATTTTTGTCGTAGGGTAGCATACAACTCCAACAGCCTTAAGAAACTGCGCGTGATTCAACATAGTCCATAACCTAAATAAGAGTTAGATAATTTGAAGATGCCATGACACATTTTTTCTGAGTAAGACCAACTACAATCTGAAGTAACCATAACATTCAAGCAAGCCGTCCACTCCAGTCAGTTAATTAATAGATCAGCTTCAACCCAGTGATCAGATTGATTCTATTTGCACTGATGTCATATTGAGAACATGGCCTGTGAGCCCAAAAGTGAACGAGGAGCAGACACAAGAGAGCAGCGATATAAACAGAACTTTTGCCAACGACAATTGAGAAGGACACAGACATGCAGGCACAAGATTTCTCAATCAATCCGAGGAAATGAGAAATGTTCCAGCTAAAGAGCAAAAACAATATATTACACTGTTATCTTGGATAAACCAAGGCATGTTCTGTCATTTACTTAGATTTTCCTGCTTGGTGTACCTTGTCATCTGCGTTTCTCAATCTGTCATATCTTGCAACATAAAATCCCTAATATCCTAAATTTTACTCCGACAACATGAAAGTCATCTTATGGACGTGTTGAGGATAGTGCAAGGATATCCGTATCTGGTTTTTCAATTGAAACTTTGACAAGGATGTTTTACTGTAGTGCTCACTGTGTGTCGTATCAGTTCATGGATACTCTGGCCTTTGAGAGTATCAGTACCAAACAGTTTCAGCGACACAAGAAAAAAGAATGGGAAATAGGACCAAGGTAAAACATACTTTGGCAATATGTACGGTGAAGATACTCTCGTTCTAAAGCAGGTTCTTGAGTGTGCTCCAACATTTCTCATGCAGCTTCCAACATTACAATAAGACCATCAACCATTGTAGGATACTGGCGAAGGGTAAGCAAAAGATAACAGTGTATTTTATTCTGGTAGGCACCTCAATGAAAGGGAAAGTTAAAATGATCCTCTAATCACACGATAGCTCAGTCACTGAAGGATTCTATTTGGTGCTATGGTCTATGTCGAAAAGAGAAGTGTAAAAAGATAATTCCTGATTAGAAGCATAGACTTGTAACAGTTATCCAGATTTTTGAATAAAAGGACAACAAAATCATGTAAGTCAGCCTAAGTTGCTCAGACTCGGGTGCTGGTGTTCGATACAGGTGCGGATATAGAGGCCGGATCCTTCTAAATTTTAAGATTTGTGGGTACGGATCCAGGTATGGATACAGGTGTAGAGATTCGGCTAAAAATAATTCCAATATCTAAGAATAGAGTTATAAAAATATGTCTATAGTATGAGACATTATGTGGAAAACTTGCAAGGTATTCTGAGAAGGAGAAAATATTGATCAAGAGGAGAATCTGAGAAGGAGATAAAAGGAAAAGGACAGACATAGAAATCTCTATATACAAGGTTCTATTTTCTTCAATTTTACCCTAACTTTTGTTTTGATTTCAGAGTATGCAATCCTTATATCTTTTTATCAAAAACGGTTGCTTGAAAGAAAGGACCAGTAATGAACAATTAAGCTGGTTTTGAAGTGAATTAGATGCAATATTGTGGATTGTTTTTCTTGTAAAGTCATAGTCTAAGGGTCTTTCAAGAACAAGTTTGATCTTTCAAGGAGGCAATAACTATTCTTGTTGATAGCGGGCTTGCTAATCATACAGGGGAAGGAAAGTGTGAAATGGTCCACTATTGGATTTTGACAGAAGAGGCTATCAAAAGCATCTTTGACATGTTCAGCACATAAATCTCCCATCTACTTCAGTTGTTGAGCGGCATAAATGCTACAGAAGCACTTAGATGTCCTTGAGCTTTGGTTAGAAGTGTTACCAACCTGGTTTCGCACGTTTACTATTTCACAAGAACATGATTCTGAGGATCAAGACAATAATGAATAAACTGACCACAGAAAAGTACTGGCCGAGAGAGTCATTTTTTACCAACTTTAATCGGAAACATGAACTCTTTAATATTAAGGACCAATATCATTTCTTTAACACTTTTATCTTGATAAGATTTACTAGGATATAACCAAAAGACAAAGCAGTTTCACCAATTAAAAGCAACAATGCAGGTGGTTGAATAGGCTTTTTTACAAGATTTTGGCATCACTTTGGAAAAACTAGAAATGCTACGTCTACAGCATCAACAAGTATGCCTCAATCCCAAGCTAGTCGGTAATGGATTCTCACCATCCATTTTTCTCTATCTGGATCAATTTTATTCCAGTATTCAATAACTTGGAGCTCTTTCTTGAGCGGAGGGTCAATGGAAGAATAGCCTCTCTATCCTCCAGGGTAGAGATAAGGTCTGCGTACACACTCCCCAGACCCCACTTGTGGGACTCCACTGGGTTTGTTGTTGTTGTAATAACTTGGAGTTCTTTAGCACTAGAGGTTCTCTATGTTTTCTACTGACATATAAAACTCTAGACTAAAATGACTCCTACAACATTGAACCTAATGAGAGCATAGCATCCCGACTTAGCCTTAACGCCAGCTAGTCAATGTTGCCAGTTGCCTATATGGATTTTTGCTTTCATTGTGTCCTTTTCGCTAGATTTGCATAGATCTCGAGAGATTGTCAGTCTTTTGAGATCATTCTACCTTATCCAATTAAAAAAATATCGTCAATCATGTTTTTTGCATCTACCGAAAGGGTGCATTAGGTCTATGTAAGACATGAACCTCAGCTTATCCTTTGTCCCTGCTACTTGCACCTTCTGTTGAATGTAATCATTTCTAATCTTGTCTATTTTTGTATGATCGTACATCGATCTTACTATCCGCATTTCTAGTCTTACTATCCATCCTAATAGAATGTGATCAGTTCTAATCAAGTCTAATCTTGTGGATCTTAGAGTCTCGACATTTACTCCAATATAAGAATGCTGGTCTTATATCAATCCTGTAGCACTCCTCCATTTCACCAACTTATTATTGTCTTATGTGTCACATATTCCTAGTCCTCTACCATTCCACTCTCTTGGAATGTCAGCAAGTAATGAAGAAACTTTGAAGAATGAAGAACATACAGAAGCATACTTTTTTGTGAATAATCGATCAACTAAATATAACAAAGCAGAAAACAAAAAGTAAGTGAAAGTATCTAGAAGGAAGAACTAACTATAGATGGTTCTTACATGGATCACTAAAACTGGGCAGCTGACTTTTTGTATTTTGTCTATATTCTGCAAAAGGAAAGAAATTTGTCAGCATGATACTTCGTCATAATTAATCAACCAGGAGAAAACGACGAAAAAAGAAATACTTACTTTGAAAATGTCAAACCAGAATGTCATCTTTACAGGATATAGAACTCGTATTCCTGAAAGTATAGCACTATGAAGAACGATGGCTCTTAACCTCTGTAAGCGAGACGCCAAGTGTAGTGTTGGCCCGCTGCCAACAGATTGTCCGTACAAAATAATATCCTCCTGCTTAATGCCGTATTCGCTCTTCAAACAATTATAGACAGCTTCGATGTCATAGTACGTGTTGAACTCCGATGGCTGATACAAGTAAATAGACATCAATATGTGAAGATTGGAACAAGTAGACCAAAACTTATAAGGCAACAGGAGGGCAGAAAGGGCAACCCAGTGCACTAAGCTCCCGCTATGCGCGGAGTCCGAGGAAGGGCCGGACCACAAGGGTCTATTGTACGCAGCCTTACCCTGCATCTGCAAGAGGTTGTTTCCACGGCTCGAACCCGTGCAACTTTACCAGTCATGCCAAAGCTCCATGATAAGATAGATTAATGACTTGATGCCAATTGCTGTCTGAAACAAAAGTTAGAAATGGAATTTAGCATGATAATTTCCTTACCTTACCCGATGATCCACCATATCCCGAATAATCGTAGCTGCAATCCAGCATGCAAACATGACATCAGTGCCAAAGAAAAAGGAGATTATAACAAAATAATAGAACTTTCAGGAATTGTAATTGCATGTTGATACAGTATTAATATGACTGCAAAATTCTTGCAAGTTTAGGAAAGACAGATTAACAAGTTCAGAAATAGCTTCTCCAAAATCCTACTAATTCAGATTCGAGTTTTTACTCAATAAGATGAATTAGACCAACAAACCAATTCACCACCACCACCAACAACAAAAAATCCATGTAATCCCACAAGTGGGGTCGGTAGCGTGTATGCAACTTTACCCCGACCTTGTGAAGGTAGAGAGGTTGTTTCCAACAAACCAATTCACCAAAATCAAAAATAAAACAAACCCATTTTTCATCCCTTCCCCAACTGGATATCAAGAAAATACTTAATCACATGAAGTATCATACACAGAATTACAACAAGAACATACTAGACAGTACCAATATACACAAAACATGGTAAAGATCAAAACTTTGAAATAACCATTAACTATACCAATAAAAAAACAAGAAAAACCCATGTAATCGATAATTCTAAACCTTCCCCCCCCCCCCCCCCAAAAAAAAAAAAAAAAAACCCACCACAATATGGAAAAGGAAACACATAATTACACAAAGTATCATACAGAGAATTATAACAAGAACATATTAGACAGAACAGATCCAATATACACAAAAACAAAGTAAAGATCAAATACCATCAAAAACAAACAAAACTCATGTAATCAATTACTCTAAAACAGCCCATAAACCAAAAACACACACCAAGTACATATTAGGCAGAAGCAATATACAATAAAACATGGTAAAGATCAAAACTTTGAAACAACCATTATCAATACCATCAACCAAGCACAACCCATAAAATCATTATCCTACCTTACCCTCCCCCCCCCCCCCCCCCTAAAAAAAAAAAAAAAACCCCACAAAACAATAAGGAAAATTAAAAACTCAAGCTCATACATAGAAACATACAACAAAAACATTTGTAAAGATTAGAACTTTGGAACAACCATTAACAATACTATCAAAAAACAAGCAAAACCCATGAAATTAATCATTCTTAAACACTCCAACAAACAAAACACACACACACACAAAATAAAGGGCAGCCCGGTGCACTAACTCTCGCTATGGTCCGGGGAAGGGCCAGACCACAAAGGTCTATTGTACGCAACCCTACCCTTACAGAAGGAAGGAGGGTGTTTCCACGGCTCGAACCCGTTACCTCCCGGTCAAGAGGCTGTTTCCACGGCTGCAAACCTTGACCTCGTGGTCACATGAAGGCAATTTAATCAGTTACGCCAAGGCTCCCGTTTCCAAAACCAATGCGCACACACACAATGATGTAAAGAAATAAGAGAAGAATATGACCAAGAAAAAAAGGAATTTAACATACCACATAATATTAACACGGAGGTGAGCTCTAAGCTCAACAAAAAGATCAATCATTTGTCCCAAATCAGCAGCATTTCCATGAGAATAAAGAAGAGTAAATCTCCCATTTGGGTGTTTCCAAAAAGTGGCTACAATTTTATTACCACCTTTTGTATCCAATAAATGAACATTCACATTCTTATCAGCTGTTATTCCACTGAAACAAAGCCTACTACTTTCTTCTTCATCTTTAAATACTTCATATGTTGGTGGGTCTGGTGGAAAAAATGCAAATTTTGCAGCTACACTTGCTGTTACATTCCCCATTATCAAAAACCCAACAACCTATATTTGACAATAAAATCATTCAATATAAATTTAACCCATGAATTTGGCAAAAGCATCAATCTTTTTCTGCAAGAAAATATGGGAGAGAAAGTTCTTGGTCTATTTTTTTGTATATATCAAAAAATTATTTTTTTTGGGTTTTGTTTTGTTGTTGTTTTGAGTGGTTTGTTGAGAAAGATCCGATCTAAGCGGGGTGTGGTGTGTGTATTGGGGAAACAAAGAATTAAAAGAAGCAAAGAGAACTGGTGCATGTTTGTTTTTTCAGATGATCTGTAAAATGCCCACTGTTTATTTTTTATTTCTTATTTTTTGGCTGGTAGTTTTATTTTTATTTATTAATTTATTACACTCTTTTTTTCTAATAATATTCTTTCCTCTTTTGATTCATCATTTATGGGCGCCCATTATCTATGACTTAGTGAAAAGTCAAGTTTAGCCTTCAAGAATTGTTTTATGCTTAAAAAAAAATAGAGAGATTTGCTTTAAGATTTTTTTACACAATTGGTTTAGTTTAATTTATTATAGCAGGTTACTTATTATTTTTAATAGGTTACCAAGTAATGCTTATCATAAAAAATTTGCCAGCAATTAAATTATAAGTGATTTGATTGTGTAATTATTCGCATAACTTAAACTAAGAACATTACTTCCCCGATCCATTTTAATTAATTTTTTGGCCTTTTATTGGTGGCCCACAATATTTAATTTTTTCAAAAATCAAGAAATAATTTACTTCTTTTTTTCAAAATTGCCCTTGAAGTAAAGAATCTCGGAGTATCTATTATACTTTTAACGAACAAATTAACGAGATAGCAAAGGTTAATATGGTCAATTTTATTATTAATTATTGTTAAAAGATAAAATTTTTAATAGGTGTGAAAATAGAAAAAATAATAATAAAGTAGACTAGAGGGAGTAAGAAAAGTTGTATCATTGGATTAGGGCAGGAAGATATAGTTAGTTGTGGAATTGCCAAGTGTTAGATGAAGTTAATTATTTACTAAAGAAGCATGCAATTCATGATCACACTAATTATATTTTTTATAATTAATGATAAAAGTATGTCTCAACTAAAGTTTACCTAACTATATTATACAATAATTGGTAGTTGAAGATTTTGGATAAAAAATTCAATCATCATAACTTATATAAATAGAAGATATACTTGAACTTTATATAACTCATAGCTACTATTTTAGATGAAGTCAATGGGCACAACAACAATTTAGTTTAGAAAAAAGAAACATCATAATACCTTGATTGCGTACAAAATTTAAAAAAAAACAAAATGAATACAATGCTAATTTATTATATGATTTTCGTAGTTTAGTAAAATCCTATATCGATGATCACACAAATCTGATATAATCCACGAAAAATAATTAAACACCATTGTGCTTTTAATATTTATAGATATAATGAGGCATTAGCTAGTGAAATATAATCTATATTTCTATTTTAAGTAGTTTTCTTTCATTTTTATTTATAATTATAGATACAGGATATACTAACAATTACAGGTAAAAAGGAATCTAACGCTTTTTTAGCTAAACCATGATTCCAACAAGGACAATATTGACTTTGATGTGAAAAATTGTTCATAAAAGTTGAAGAAACTATGAGAACCTCAAGAAAATTACTATTAGTGCTAGCTATTAAAAAGATTTAATTTGCACAAGAATTAAAGAAAAAATACTTAAAAGAAAATAAAGGTTAAGAAAAAATATGATAAGATTCGGTCAAAGGCTGCTATGGAGATCTAAATAATTTAACGAAGTTTTATTTTTTCAGATTGGTGTGTCAGAGAGACAATGTCAGATTCAAACATTCTTTCATTGTCTTGTTCTTTATTTTGCCAACTTTGAACTTTCCTTTATTGGATCTTATATTGTTATACAAAGTTTGTCTTTAAATTTTTATATTATGTTTGTAATAATCTTCTTTTGTTTGATGCTCTACGTTTAATGCTATTGTAGTTACAAGTGATACTCAGCCTTTGGCCCGACTAATTCAGAATCGCACCGGAAATATAAAAAAAATAAAATACTTTCTATAAAAAACGATTATATATAAGGGTTCAAACTCTGATACTTTTGATTAAAAATTGAGAAGTATTTACTATTCTTGTTCAACTTTTAATGGCACAAGTTCTTACTACCCCCTCGGTCCGTCTTTACTTGTCCATGTTTGACTGACACACACCTTAAGAAGCAATTAATAAAATGATAATTTAACTACATTATCCCTAATTATAATATGTTGGGAAATGAATAGTAGTATTTAATAGTAAGTGTAAAATAATATAAAATGAAAATTATCTTTTGGTTTTTCAAATTGGACAAGTAAAAGCGGATATCTTCTTTTAGTATAGTCGACAAGTAAAAATGAACACAGGAATAAAATTCATCCTAAGTTTGTCTACTATTTTTAACTTAGTTTTTCCAAATTTCTTAATCAGGAAACTTTGGTATTTCTTTAAATTCTTGATCAGGCAATGATATCTAAATTATCACACTTGTCTCTATTACTAATTCAATAAATGTTCGAGGAAATGTGGAATTTTTGCTACATATGCTTTCTACAATTCTACCTAAATTAAAAAAAGAAAGAAAGAAATCACTGTTATACTAATTAATATTTCCTTTTAAACATCATTAAGAGAGCAACTCACTAGATTGATTAAACAAATAATGACTAAAAAGGTAGTACAAATAATAATTATGAGGACTAAAGTAATTATAGTCAACTTGTAATTATGAGAAATAGGACATTGTCATAAAAGACTATAAAGTCTACAAACATGTGATTAGTATTCTAATAATAGATAGAAAGAAAATTAAAAGCAAAAAGGATAAGACATTTGCATGAGGAGATTACGTAGGAATTAATAAAGATAAGAAAATTATTGTGCTTTGAATTAAATTTTCTCGGACCACAAATTAAAGCATTGAGGGGTCCCCAACAAGCCAATATGGCTATCTATATACTAGCTCTTTGATTTTGGTCCTCTTTCATTTAAAGAACAACTTGGACTCAAATATTGAAGTATTTTTTTGGTTTCTCATACGGTATCTGGTATTTGTATTCGGGCCCGATTAAATCCGAATTTACGTCGGTAAATCCCATATTGGAAAGGAGGGAGGGGGATAAAGTGCCCCCTAACAAAGGCGATTCCATACACATGGCTAGCTTGAACCTGAGACTTGTGGTTAAAGATAGAAGAATACTTATAGCTCCACCATAATCGTTGTTAGTTAAACAAATATTGAAGTTTCTAAGTAACAATTAGTCACTTACCTAATCATTCATCATGAATGAGGTGAATTCAATGTAGCTCTATATAGCCTTGTGGAAGGAATTAATAATGTTACTTAGAATTGTACTATTAAAAAAAATTAGCTATTAAAATTCGTCATTAATATATCACTACATATAGTCCCGTAACTAATTAATATGATTTTAATAATTTGTTGCTAATCCGTCGTTAAATAGGATTAGCAACGTTAGATTTTTGCACTTTGTCAACAAAATTTATCAGTCGTTAATTCTTTTTTTTTTTTGGGTAGTATTATTTTCTCCAAAAAGAAAAGTACAAAGATTTTAGCGGATAGTACGCCATCACTTAATGCATTTGTTATCTGGCATGAGAGGGCTGATTAGTTTGAGAATATGTTTTAATCATTTTAATACATTTACTTTAGGTCCTATAATTCTTAGGAGTCTTTTAGTCATGTCATAAATTTATATACCAATAGAAAATATATATAGAGATGTCACGACCCGGATTTTTCACCGTCAATACCGTGATGACGCCTAACATCGCACTCGCTAGGCAAGCTAATGTTAGAGTTATATTCACCTTTTTCCTTTACATTTTTATAGTTAAAATTAACAAAGCTAAATCAAACTGAAATAAATGCGGAAGTACATAATAAACCGTTTATCAATATAATATTAACAATACCGAAACTGTTACCACCCAGAAACTGGTGTCACAATCCACGAACATACTACGAATTACTACAAATAATGGTCTGGAAGAAATTACATTTGTCTCGAAAGAAAAGAAAACAGGAAAGTAGAAACAAAGGAGTGGACGCCAGCAGGACTAACTTGGGTCTCCTAGATGAAGTATCTGCAACCGACCTCTCGATCAGCCAGTACCAGCTCCGAAATATGTACAGAAAGTGCAGAGTGCAGTATCAGTACAACCGAACCCATATACTGGTAAGTGCCGAGCCTAACCTCGACGAGGTAGTGACGAGGCTACGGCGAGGCATTTACAATATAACCTGCAGACAGTATATAATAAAGCAAACAAGAAGTACGGAACGAAATAAAATAGTAACTTGCGAGAAAAATAAATACGGAACTTAGTTATCTTGCCAGTACTCAGCTATAACCAATCCTTAAGAGAGTTACAATGTTACAGAATAAAATCACAGCAGAAGAAGAATACATAAACAACAAAATGATGCGGCGCGCATCCCGATTCCACCATATCATCAGTAACAATATGAACATTCACCCTTATTACTCCCAATCCACCCTTATTACTCCTGTTTGCGGCGCGCAACCCGATCCCACCAGACAATAATAATCCACCCTTATTACTCCTCAATATATCATCATTAATCCTCCTGTTGCGGCGTGCAACCCGATCCCACCAGACAATCACATTTCACCCTTATTCCTCCTCAATATATCACCCTTATTCCTCCTGTTGCGGCGTGCAACCCGATCCCACCATATCAGTACCAATCACACAAAGCACAGTTTAGCTCAAAACCCTCCACAATATTTAAGCCTCAAACCAAAGCAAACAGAAGGCTATAGAATTATGAAACTTCACTCAATTAATACTATACAGCGAGACCAACCAAAATATACTATGAAACTCCGGTAAACCAGCTTAAACCAATAATGTAGCACAATGAAGCTATGGAATAATTAATACCTTCAATAAAGAAAACAACATCTAACAAGAAGTAATTAAACATGGAAGCACCAATAAGCATGTAGCAGTTAAGACAGGAAGACAATATAATAGGAACGGGGAAAGGAACAGGCTAAATATATAGATAATTTGACGGCGCATAGGTACTCGTCACCTCACCTATATGCCACACACATGGATTTTCACATAGCAATTAAGTCGGGGATTCCTAATCCCTCAAGTCAAAGTTAGACACAACACTTACCTCAATCCAACGGCCAACTCAAAACTCAATTATCACTTTTCCTCTAGTTTCCACCTCCAATCCA